CCCGGACCGGGGCACGAACCTGTGTCCCCTGCATTGGCAGGCGGACTCTCAACCATTGTACCACCAGGGAAGCCCTCTTTTAAGTTTTTAGGACTTTTACGGCAGGGTTGATTTGGAAGTTCACGCTAGTCCCAGTGAAGTGGAAAGACCCTTCCCTGGGGTTCAGACATACCTGGGTTTACATCTGGGCTCTGTCCCTTTCATGTTATGTGATCCTAGGCAGCTACCTAATCATTCTGAACTTCAGTTTCCTCAACTATAAAATAGGAACAATACTTCTAAGGTCCTTATGAGAACTAAACAAGGTAATATGCATACAATTTCCATACCTGTATCTGGTAGATGTAAATACGCAGTATGTGGCAAATTATTGCTGCTGTTCTTGGCAATTGCAGTCATCATTGTGGTGTGGTCTTCCTTAACGGACTGGAAATGACGTCAGTGCAAATGCTTGGAGAATTTTTTGTTGTTGTTCTTTTTGCACATATTGAAGATGATGTGTCTACTGTTTTGCAAAGAGTTACAGGAATAAACCTGTCAGCTAGTTCTGTTGAAGGCACTTAGGAAACGTGTATTACAAGTGAGGAAATAATGGGCCCAGGCTGTCAGCCAGGGTAGTAAACATCCTTTCCTATCCCGGAAACCCATGAACTTTTTCCAGCAACCATCCAGGTGGCCCATTGATCATAGAAGTGAATATTTTTCTTTTGAACCAATACTCGTGGGGGTTATTTAAGTATACTGGAGCCACACGATTTAATTGATTCTTTTTAACATATTTGATGTGTTTCTATACCTGTTTTTCAGTATTTTTATTTGCTTATTCTTTTTTTCTATTTTAAACTCCTTGATTCAAAGTCTGTATCTTCTTCCTTTCGGGTTTTTCTCAGAGTCTAGTAATGTTTTCCCATTGGTGGGCATACAGTGATGTATTGCTAGTAAGAAAGATTTCCCAAAAATAATATTCCATTAAAAATATATTTATTTATTTATTTATTTATTTATTTGGCTGCGCCGGGTCTTAGTTGCGGCGTGTGGGATCTTTTAGTAGCAGCATGCGGGCTGCTTAGTTGCAGCATTTGGGCTCTTAGTTGTGGCATGCATGTGGGATCTAGTTCGCTGACCAGGGATCGAACCTGGGCCCCCTGCATTAGGAACGCAGAGTCTTAACCGCTGGACCACCAGGGAAGTCCCCAGTATTCCATTTTTAAAGGTATAGAGGGGAGGGGACTCTGTTGATGGTGTGATGTATTTATATCTAGTGTGTGCTAAATCTTGGATTTAATAGACACGTCATGGACATTAGTTTCTGCTTGAGGACTCCAAGCCCCATGAGGTTTCAAGTTTGGGGATATTCCTCAGATGTGATGTCAACAAAAAGAAAGCCGAGTCTATTTTTTCTTGGCCTATTTTTCTGTAACTTCAGAGAGTATACTGAAACTTTTGTAATGGAAGGTTTTTCATTATTTGGGCAAAGGACAATCTTAAGTGTGATACTGAATGCATTTTTTTCTCCCTGCCAGTTCACTAACGAAGCAGCAGAAAAAGTCACATGAGTCAGTGCTTAAATAGACCATCCAGGGAAGTTGTTGCATGGCGTCATTCCTCTGTCGTCTGCTTCATAAAAGTTTTTTTTTTTTTTTTTTTTTTTTGCGGTACGCGGGCCTCTCACTGTTGTGGCCTCTCCCGTTGTGGAGCACAGGCTCCGGACATGCAGGCTCAGCGGCCATGGCTCACGGGCCCAGCCGCTCCGCGGCATGTGGGATCTTCCCGGACTGGGGCACGAACCTGTGTCCCCTGCATCGGCAGGTGGACTCTCAACCACTGAGCCACCAGGGAAGCCCCATAAAAGCTTTGAAGGCTAGTGTTTCTCAAATGTGCATACAAGTCCCCCGAGAATCTTGCTAAAGTGCAAATTCTGCTTCAGTAGGTCTGGAGTGGGGTGTCAGACTCTGCATTTCAGTAAGCTCCCAGCTTTGGCCACCCCCAGAGTAGCAAGGCTTTAGGCTGTGTGTGGAGGAGGAGGTGGGGTTCTTTCATGGTTCGTGGTCCTGTGCTCACCAGTCTGAGTGTGGGTATTTCTCTTTGATCTGTCCAGGTTTGGTCGCTGGCTACAGTAGCTACGGATCTTTGCCTTGGTCCGAAGTCTGACCCAGATTTGGAAACACCCTGGGCTCGACATCCATTTGGGCGACAGCTACTGGAGTCCCTGTAGGTTTTGAGAGCTGAAAGTGAAGAAAATGAGTGATGTCAATTTTAGGTCTATAAACACTTTCAGTGTTTTTGTCTAAGAGAAAAGTGCAAAGCCCTGAGGCGTGAGAAGAGGAAGTGAGACCTTTCCTTTTAGGGCTGCTATAATTTCTGTGCAGAACTCACTTCTTAGAGCAGAAGGAATTATACAGTATTTGTCATTTATAACAAGGATTTGGGACTCATGTGTCCTTGAGAGAGTTATGCTTTGGCCCAGGAGTACATCAGTCTGAACACAGGAGTTTGAGTTCTTGAGGTAGAAAGTTTCTTGGGTGCTGTAGAATCTCGCCCCTGAGAGCAGGTTAGAGACTTGCACGTTGGCCTTCGTGTTTTCCAAAGGCCACGATGCATTCACCCCGTTAGACAGTTTATGAAAACCTTGAGTTTGTGTTTGATTTATTGCACTGAAATATGGCAAACTGGAAATACAGTGTGCAAAATGATTCACAACCAGGAAAAGCCACTTGAGGCTCCAAGACAGGGAGGCCCAGGTCCTGACAGAGAGACGGAAAAGCTCTCCTTCCTTCAGCTGGAGGTTTGCTTTCCCTACTTGTTGAGGCCAGACCTGGGACACGTGCTCATGCTTCAGGTTGCCCATGGTGCTTGTTCTCCCCACTTCATTTGAGGCTCATGAGATAGTGTGAAGACACCTTAAAGTTATTAGACATTGCTTGGTAGGAAAGTATCAATATTATTGCATCACCAAGGCCAAAGTCCCTGGGATCTCTACCTCACATTCTATCTAGCACAGTTGTACTGAAAGGAGCAAAGGGGATGTGAGGACCTAAAAGGTAAAACTATCCCCTATTGTTCTTACTTAATAGCTCAGACTCATAATGCCACCTCCCGAGTCCGTGACCTGCTCCCCATACTGTGGTGGCACCGTGCTCCCTAAGCACCTCCATGTAGCCTTAGGTCATATGAATGGAGGACATAGAAACCCCCCAGGAAGCAGTGTGATGCCTCCTTGGAGTTGGGGAGGCCGAGAGAGCATGGATGGCCTCACTCAGATGGGAGCTGAGTCTCCTTAATTCTTGAAGAAGCTCCATGCAAGTCTGAGCCCAGGCCTGGATGCCAGCTAGGAGCTTTCAGATTGGTTATATCTGGGTCATGTGTAATACTCAGATACATGTTATTCCAGAACAAATTTAGCCAAACTCAAAGTCGATCATGCCCCCGGATCTGCAGAAAGCCCTCGTTCCTGATGGGGGCTTTTGAGGCAGAATCAAGAATTCTCCCTTCTTTTATGGTTTATCACAGAACGTAGTTCCCTGTGCTATACAGTAGGACCTTGTGGTTTATCCATTCTATATAAATGATAATGGAAAAGAGTATGAAAAAGAATGTATATATATGTATAACTGAAGAACTTGGCTGTACAGTAGAAATTGACACAACACTGTAAATAAACTATACTTCAATAATATAAATTTTAAAAAAAATTCTGACATCCTACCCCGATGGCGACAACCTGCCGCTATCATGACAGTCATCCTTCCCCCTGCCCTTCTCGTGACTTCTCCTTTCCTGCCCCCTTTCTCTCCAGGCTGGCTCATTACTGCCGGCTCCGGGACGTGCAGACGTTGGCTATGCTCTGCAGTGTATTTGAAGCCCAGTCTCGGCCTCAGGGGATACCAAACCCCTTTGGGCCTTTTCCCAGCCGCTCATCTAACCTTGTGGTGTCCCACAGTCGATACGTAAGTTGGGGGTTTCCTAGTGTGAGTTTGACTTTTCCCAGAGGTCGCCGTCATGGGGAACGGCACTCTCACGCTGCTCCTGTTTGCTCTGCAGCCCAGCTTTACATCCTCTGGTTCCTGCTCGAGTATGTCCGACCCAGGATTCAACACTGGTGGCTGGAACATAGGTTGGTATGGCCTTAGCCCACCCTGGGTTTTTGTTTTTTTTTTTAAACATCTTTATTGGAGTATAATTGCTTTACAGTGGTGTGTTAGTTTCCACGCTGGGTTTTTATACTCTAAATGTGGTGTGCGATTTAATATGTAATCTTTACTTGATGAATACTCTCCATATTTTTCCTTGTTTCTCATTGCCACGCGCACACACACACACACACACACACACACACACACAGTGCGCCGCGAAGCTTGCGGGATCTTAGTTCATCTTAGTTCCCCGACCAGGGATCGAACCTGGGCCCGCTGCAGTAGAAGCTTGGAGTCTTAACCACGGGACTGCCAGGGAATTCCCCCTCTTTGCCCATTTATTTATTTATTTATTCATTTATTTATTTATTTATGCGTTGGGTCTTCGTTGCTGCACACAGGCTTTCTCTAGTTGCGGCGAGCAGGAGCTACTCTGTTGTGGTGCACGGGCTTCTCATTACCGTGGCTTCTCTTGTTGCGGAGCATGGGCTCTAGGTGCACGGGCTTCAGTAGTTGTGGCACACAGGCTCAGTAGTTGTGGCTCATGGGCTCTAGAGCTCAGGCTCAGTAGTTGTGGCTCATGGGCTTAGTTGCTCCGTGGCATGTGGAATCTTCCCAGACCAGGACTCAAACCCGTGTCCCCTGCATTGGCAGGCAGATTCTTAACCACTGCGTCACCAGGGAAGCCCCCCCCCCCCCCATTGCCCTTTAAATTGAGTATGAAGGGGATACTGTAGTCAGCAAGGTCTGGGCTTTTCGTGTTTGAACAGGCTGGTTTCTGGTCTCTCTGCCTTGCTGGGTTGCTTTCCATCTTGTAACCTTAAGAAACTGACAGTGGGACTTCCCAGTGTCCCCCCCCACCAAGTGCTAACCTTTATCCTTTCTCCTGCACAAGCCCCTTTCTCGACCGTCTGCCACTTCCTGTTACCTCCCTCTCCCCACGTACCTCCTTCAGGGTAGAGAAATAAAGCTGAGCCTGGTTCCAGCTGGCCGTAAAGGTCTATTTAATGAGGAAGTGTATTTGTGTTTTCTGGATTTTTAAAATTTCTTTTTAAAAATGATCTTAGTTTTGTTGATTACAAAAGTACTATTTGCCCAGTGAAGAAAAACAAAACAAAAAGCGTTAGTGGAGAAAATAGTAATCATTGATTCCCCCATCTAGAAATAACATCTGTTAACATTCCAGAACATTTTCTTCCAATCTTTGTGTGTGTGTGTGTGTGGGGGGGGTGTCATTCTATATTTGTGGTTTTTGTGTTCCATTTTTGATTTTGTCATGAGCATTTTCTCATGTCATTTAAAGAGTTTTTATAAGTAATGCCTGCCTAACAGTCTACATCATCTCTACCATAACTTGCTTAATCATTATGTGTGTACTTAATTATCAAGTAACCTTAATAGTAAACACCTAGACAAAAAGGTAAGGCTAAGAAAGTGTTCTCTTTAGTTCCATTTCTCAGGATCTTCAGCTTAGCTTATCTTTCCTCCAGGGCATAAATTGGACACATGTGCATTATGAGAGTTTTCAGGTATTTCCCATGCCTTTTCTGATTGATTTTCATCTTCTCTTCCCATTTGATTTTTTTCAGTGGGAAGAGAGACAGAGCACATATCTTCACCCTGGGGAGAGTCCTCACCAGAAGAAATCCGATTTGGGAGTCTGACCTACAGTGATCCTCGTGAGCGAGAGCGTGACCAGCACGATAAAAATAAAAGGTAACGACCTTCGCGGGTGGGAGCTGCAATTTCATGACGCTTAGATTCTCCAAAATCAGGACTCTTAGCACCTTATGTGTCATTTGTTATATTAAGTGCTGTTTGGCCTTGAGCTTGTTTCTCTTAAAGGAACTGACTGGAATTTTGAATTTGATCCAGGCTTCTGGACCCCGCCAATACCCAGCAATTTGATGACTTTAAGAAATGCTACGGAGAAATCCTCTACCGCTGGGGTCTGAGGGAGAAACGAGCTGAAGTGTTGAAGTTTGTTTCCTGCCCTCCTGATCCTCACAAAGGAATCGGTGAATAAGAATTTCTTTCTGTTCCCATCACTCTCTGAAAAGTCCTATAATTTAATGTGCCCATAACATAATACTTGGAATGAAGTTCCAGTTTCTCATTTATAAGCAGAAATTTCTGAAGCATTTTGAGTCGGTTCCAAGCTTCTGAAAACCCTGGCATTTCATGAGGTGATTACATTTTTATTGTAATGGAAGAAATTTTCCATACAATCCTCAGATGTTGATTGGAGGTAGGGATATTTATTCAGTGATTCAACTAGTGTTTATCAAATTCCTCTCAGTCACAGTGCTAGCACACTCACTCCTTCCCGCGGTGGAACTCACAGACCAGTGGGAGAGAAAAATATAATTACAAATTGTGATCAGTATTTATGAGCCAACAAAAGGGGTGTTGGGGCAGGGAAGCAGGGGGGGAGAATCTTAGAAGATATGTCGAGCTGTATCGGGAAGGCTTTCTGAGGAGCTGAGGTTTGCAGGATGGGGTGGAGCCACACTTGCAGCGAGAGAGCAGCACGAAGGGCATCCCGTGCAGAGGGAGCAGGTCCATGGGGGAAATAACTTGTTCTTCTAAACAAGTGGAGGAAGACCAGTGTGGCTAGAACATAATGAGTGAGAAGAGTGATGTAAAATTAGACTGTAAGATAGTCAGACTTGAGAGTCATGGTAAAGAATTTGGATTATATTCTAAGTCCAATGGTGAGCTTCAGAGGACATTAATAGGTAAGTTATATGACTTCCCTGGTGGTCCAGTGCTTAGGACTCTGTGCTTTCACTGCCATGGGCCTGGGTTTGATCCCTGGTCAGGGAACTAAGATCCCGCAAGCCGTGTGGTGAGGCCAAAAAAAAAAAAAAAGTAAGTGATATGCTCTGGTTTCCATTGTAAGAGGATCCCTTTGGCTGTTATAGGAAGAAAGGGTTGGAGGAGGATAGAAGCAGAGGTAGGAAGGCCATTTGAAGATTCTTAGAGTAGTCAGAGAGAGATGGACGGCCTAGTCTCAAGGTGACATCAGTGAAGGTGGAGAGAGATGAGTGGAGTAAAAATGTATTTTAGAGGTAGTCTCAATATGACTTACTAACAAGTTGGGTATGGGCTTGAGGAGAAGAGGCAAAGCTTAGATGATTCCCAAGTTTCCAGCTCCAGCAACTGGGTAGATGGTGGTGCCATATTCTACGATAGAAAAGATTGGAAGAAAATTGAAAACTCAGTTTGGGACAGTTGGAAATGTTGGTAAGGTTTGGACTGTAGAAATCATGCAGGCAGTTGGATATGAGTCTGGAGCTGAAAGGACAGTTCAGGGATAAAACTAGGAGTGTGGGAATCTTCCCCATGTCGGTGGTGTTCAAGCTGTGAGAGTTTAGTGCATTTACCTGGGAGCTGGGGGGTGGGGTGGAAGAGGATGGGAGGAGCATATAAGAGAGCCCACTTACTCTGGGCCTTGAGAGAAACCAGGACTTGGGGATTGAGTCTTGGAGGAAGAACCAGAAACAGAGACTTAGAATGAGATATCAGTGAGTTTTGAGGAAAAGCAAGACTGTACTATGAAAGAAGCTAAGAGAAGAGATGTTTTCTAAAGAGTGACATGGGGCTTCCCTGATGGCGCAGTGGTTGAGAGTCCGCCTGCCGATGCAGGGGACACGGGTTCGTGCCCCGGTCCGGGAGAATCCCCCATGCCACAGAGCAGCTGGGCCCGTGAGCCATGGCGGCTGAGCCTGCGCCGTCCGGAGCCTGTGCTCTGCAACGGGAGAGGCCACAACAGTAAGAGGCCCACGTACCGTTAAAAAAAAAAAAAAAAAAGTGACATGAAAGACAGATACAAGAGTGGACTGAACACACACTGATTTCCTTTCTCCCCCAGATCCTGCCAAAGTGTCTACATAGAGCTTTTCTGTAAAGACACAACCATGCAAGGAGAAGTAATGTTGGCAGTAAAACTTGGGACCTGGTGGGGCAGATAGGTTAGTGATACCTGATCTCACGGGGAGAAAGCTGAGCCCTGAACTGGCAGGCAGAAAAACAGCAACGCACATGGCTGAACCCCCAGGTGGCTCAGGCATTAGTGGTACCACGTACCTCTGCAAGTGGCGTGAAGGTGAGGTCAAAAACAGGAGTATCGTGTCATGGCCTTTCTAGGGTCCCCAGATCCCCACTCCTAGTTTGCAGAGCAGTTATCACCTTTCCTCTCCCCCAGCAGAAAATGGAAGTTCATTCTCCAAAGAAGGTGGACACATTTCCCAATAAAGGGGCCGCCACATAGCTAGCCTATGAATGAGGAAAGACCCAGGAATATAGAGAAGATCCTAGAAGCTTCCAGAGAGAGAAAACAGGTCACATACAAAGGATAGGAATATGAATAACATCACACTTCTCGGGAGCAGTGAACTAGATACTGGAACTAGATGACAACAGTGCAGCAGTGCCTTCCCTGTTCTCAAGAAAATGATCCTCTTAGAATTCTAACCTAGAATTCTGTGCCCAAGTTATCCATCAAGTGTAAAAGTAGGCCTCCAGCCTATCCAAGGAGGAGAAATAGATTCATGCCAGGAAACCAGGGTGTTGGGATGATGGTGAAGGGAGATGTACGTGACAGACCTGAAGACAGACCAGTCCAGGTTGGAGCTTCAGAGCATTGTCTCCAAGAAGAGAAAAAAAAAATCTGTGTATTTCAGTATATATAGTGTATTTCGGTATTCAGTGTATTTACAGAAGATTCAAATGTTTGGAGATGAATTATCAATAAGTATGTAACTAAGCAAACAGGAAAAACAAGACTAACTCTAGGAGGAACAAAATGTGCAAGAAAGAAAGGAAGTCATCATGGTACGTAGCTTGGCTTGAATAATATTTACCTAGAGAAATAATGTGAAAACAGTACTGATCCAACCAACTGATAATAGAACCACATGGGGAAGATGAGGAACAGGTGGTACCTGAGTCTGGTTGGGGAGATTGGGGAATGAAAGACCTTCCACCAGGGAAGGTCAAGAGACAGTGCTTAAATATGACAATTAAGAAATAGCTTTATGGGGGCTTCCCTGGTGGCGCAGTGGTTGAGAGTCCGCCTGCCGATGCAGGGGACACGGGTGCAAAATCAATGACACAAGTCTACATCTAGATACAGCCTTACAGAATCTTTGAAAACAAAAATCAGAAAAGCATCTGGCACCTCCTTCTTGGGGGAAAAGTTATTAGGTTAAGGCCAAAAGAACGAAAAAAAAAAAAAAAAAAAAAGAAAGAAAGAAATAGCTTTATGAACGTGTTGTGTAGAGATAGGGAGGTAAGAACAGAAGAAATAGTTAAGAATTTCCTCTAGAGGGTGATGGGTGTGGGAGTGGAAGGGAATGCTGCTTTTCATAACACGATACATAGAATAATTTGACCCTTTAAGTTGTGCGAGTATAGTTTCAATAAAAAAAAAAAAAACTAAACTAATATATAAATACATACATACTAATACATACATTGAATAACAAGGATTATTTTAATATGGATTATCTTTTTTTAAATTAATTTATTTTTTTAAATTTTTGGTTGTGTTGGGTCTTTGTTGCTCTGCACGGGCTTTCTCTAGTTTTGGCGAGCGGGGGCTACTCTTCGTTGCGGTGCGCAGGCTTCTCATTGTCCTGTCTTCTCTTGTTGCAGAGCATGGGCTTTAGATGCGCAGGCTTCAGTAGTTATGGCACGTGGGCTCAGTAGTTGTGGCTCGTGGGCTCTAGAGTGCAGGCTCAGTAGTTGTGGCACACGGGCTTAGTTGCTCCGTGGCATGTGGGATCTTCCTGGGCCATGGCTCGAACCCATGTCCCCTGCATTGGCAGGCGGATTCTTAACCACTGCGTCACCAGGGAAGCCCCAAATATGGATTATCTTGGTGTGCGTACATAAAGAAATGCAGACAGAAAATGCTATTTGGGTACATATTTTTCAGAGCATCTACATGCATGAAAGTATATCAGGGAGAGATTAATGATGGCCTGGAGCAATTTGTCTTTTAAAATTAGTTTCCAGGAAAATAAATGAATCGCAGAGATATGTAACTAATGTGTCAATCCGTCAATCAGACGTATTGACATCTCCTATTATAAAGGTCGTGCTGGGTTCTGTGGGCTGGACCAAGAACTGTAAGGTGTGGTTTGGGGAGGGGGTCATTCAAGAAGTCTATAATCCTATCAGAGATATGAAACAGAAGCTCATGAAGACTTAAATGATGTTTGAGAATGAATAGTCTGTCCTAATACCATTACAAACAATGCTACAAAATTTCAGAAAGAAGGGGGGAGTGTGGATTGTGGAAGAGTCACAGACAAAAACATTAAGTATTTCATCCTTAAAGTTTTTCCTTTGGAAGAGTCAGACTCTACCCAAATACAGGAAATAGCAGGTATTGAATATGACAAGGTTGCCAGGTTGGTCTCCTCCTGTTGGAAAAACAGCAGTTTCCTCTCACACTTATCACATCTGCAAGGGTCACTCCGTATCAGCAGCAAGATTTGAGGGATGAAGTTGTTTTCATTTAGGGGATTAGATATTTAGAGAAAGGACTCCAGGCTTCATTTATTTTGAGGGGATAATGCTAGACAGAGTATCCTTTAAAAAAAAAAAAAGCAAAAAGGAAAAAAAAACTCCATATGCAAGGTGATTTTTGTCTTTGTTTTTTCTATTGAGGTATGAGGCGCTAGGTCAGAATGGTGGTAGAGAAGGTGCAGCCCACTCCCAGTTCCTATCTGCCCACCTGAATTTTATTCAGCAATTTTCTGTTTTGGTTTATTAATTTAATGTCTTATTTACTTGGCTGGTTTTACTTACATTTGTGTAATGTGGTGTTAATTAACACACATAACTCTCCTGTGTGATTAACAAACTAGAATTGTATGACACTAAACCTTTGGAGTTAGCTTCCACCTGGAGGTTCCGTAAAGCCTTGGGAATCATAATTTGATCGTTCCATGTACCAGCAGTATTTTTATTGTCCTTATTAGTTTGTCTGTTAGGAACCAAGAATGAT